AATAAATAAATAAATAAATAAATAAATAAATAAATAAATAAATAAAGCACAGTAAGACTTGCCTATTAAATAAATAAACAAATAAGTAAATAAGTAAATAAATAGCTTTATGCAGGGCAGAGGGAGGATGAGGAAAGGTTTCAATATTCTAGCATCTTTCATCAGGTAAATGACTTTCAGCTTTTCTTGTTTTCTAAAATACTGGTACTGTTACTCTGCTCTAAAAGTGCACCCTCGTTACAATGGCCAAGTTAGAATCACAGCATTCCTGCATTTGCAGTTCCTTGACACTTGAGCATTCAGTCTTGTCTTATTTGTTTATCAGACTGGGACTCATGTATCCCAGGCTGGCTTTGAAATAGCAGAAGATGACCTTGGATTTCTGATCCTGCTGCCTCCATCCCCCATGTGTCTCCAAGCTTCATACCCAACCCTCACTGTACAATTTTTCTTTTTTTTTTTTTTTTTTTTTTGAGACAGGGTTTCTCTGTAGCCCTAGCTGGCCTGGAACTCACTATGTAGACCAGGCTGGCCTTGAATTCACAGAGATCCTCCTACCTCTGCCTCCCCAGTGCTAGTATTAAAGGCATGTGCCACCACGCCTGGCTGCAATTTTTATTTTCTTACTTTTTACGTGTGTGCACACGCACGTACAATGCAGGGAACCAAACCCTCGGCTTCATGCATCATTTGGTAAAGCACTTTGTCAACTAAGCTATGTCTGCAGCTCTGTTGTTTTTCACACAGGCTTGAAGATGAGATTATCAGAGAATACAGGGAGAGGGACCGGGATTATGAACGAGACCAGGAGCGCATACTCCGGGAAAGAGAGAGGCTGAGGCGCCAAGAGGAGGAACGCCGGAGGCAGCAGCAGAAGGAGCGCTATGAGAAAGAGAAAGCCTTTAAAAGAAAGGAAGAAGAACTAAAGAGAGAGAGAGAAGGAATCCGAGATAAAGGAAAGAGGAACGAAATTACAGAATCAATAAGCACCTTAGAAAGAACTGAAAAGAAAGACGACGCGATGAAGAGAGATCGCATAAGAAACAAGGTGCTTCTTTTCATTAAAAACTTGTTCATTTTCAGGAGGATTTTTTTTCCTCCTCTTGTAAGTGTAAACGTGAAGGAAGGGTTAGTACACTGTTTGCTACAGAATCAATTCTCCCCTCATCCCAGGGCCTTGCAAACTCTCTACCTCTGAATTTCATTCCCAGCCCTCATTGTACAATTTTTGTCCTTTTTTTACATTTGTGTGTGTAGTGTGTGCATGTGTTGGTGAATGCATGTCATGAAGCATATATTGAAGTCAGCAGACAACATGCAAAAGTTGGTCCCGCCTTTCACTGTTTGGGTCTAGGGGATTAAACTCAGGTTGTCAGGCTTGGCAGCAAGCTCCTTTACCCAGTGAGCCATCTCACCAGCCCCCTTATTCTAGAAGTCTTACAGGGATCTTATAATTAACTATAAGGGGTTTTTAAACTTACCTGGGTTTTTTTTAATTTTTAATTTTATGTGTATGAATGTACTGCCTGCATGTATGTGAGTGCACCTGTGTCGTGCAATGCTGTGGAGGTCAGAAGAGGGTTTTGGATTCCCCTGGAACTGGAGTTAAGGACAGTTCGTAGCCACCATGTGGGTGCTGGGAATCGAACCTGGGTCCTCTGCAAGAGCAGTCAGTGCTCTTAACCTCTGTCATTTCTCCAGCCCCCACTTACCTGGGGTTTTATTAATTAATTAATTTCAAGCAGTGACAAAATAAAATAATGAACCCCATATAACTGTTACCCAACTTCAACAGTTACCGGTTTGTCTCCAACCTCCTGTCTATCTACTGCTACTGAATATTTTTTGTATTTATTATTTTTATTTTATGTATATGTGTATATTGCCTGCATGTATGTAAGTGCACCCGTGTTGTGCAATGCCCGCGGACCACCAAAGAGGCTGTCAGAGCCCCTAGAACTGGAGTTGCAGACAGTTGTTAGTTGCCACGTGGGTGCTGGGAATCGAACGCGGGTCTTCTGCAAGAACAGTCAGTGTTCTTAACCATTGAGCCATCTCTCCAGCCCCTCTACTGAATTATTTTTAAGCAAATCTTGGACAAATAAGTTCTTCCTCAGAGACTTCAAATTGGATAAACACTTTTTTTCCTTTCCGTGGTTTGCTTTCTTCTTTTTAGTTTCTTGTTAGCTTTGTTTTTTTTAAAAAAAAATTATTATTTTTATTTTTATGTGTATGAGTGTATTGCCTGCATGTATGTGAGTGCACCCATGTCGTGCAATGCCGCGGAGGTCAAAAGAGGGCTTCGGGTTTGCCTGGAACTGGAGTTAAGGACGGTTTGTAGCCGCATGTGGGTGCTGGGAATTGAACCTGGGTCCTCTGCAAGAGCAGTCAGTGCTCTTAACCACTGAGCCATCTCTCCAGCCCCTTGTTAGGTTTTTTTAAAGACTTA